ACACACACACATATGTATGTATACAGTGATGAATAGAACCCATTTGCTGACAATCCCCAAACACCTATTATCAAGTCACAAAGAATGAAGCTTTAGTCTCTAACAAAAATATTACAAGAATAAATTTTACTCAAAGGCTCTTAAAAATTTGTAAGGCTAAATTTAAGAATAGCTCCTAATATTTACTTGAGGATTTAATTCATATGCTCATGTCAAATTCCTGGCTCAAATCACTTGAGAAAATTTCCATCCTGAACACAAGCCTCCTTCACATGGACTAAGGCCCTGAATGCCAAGTCCTGCCCAGCTGTCTTTCTCACCCTCCCTGTTCTACCCACAGTGGCCTTCTATGAATCCCTTTTCCATACTACACTGCTTCCATTTATGGGGATCTTGAACATGCTCCCATGTCTTGGAAGATTTTTTTAGACACTGATTGTGCTGAAAAGAAAAGAAGAGAAAAGAAAGAAAGAGAAAGAGAGAGAAAGAAAGAAAGAAAAGGAAGCTTCCCACCTAGCACCATACACTTGTAATTCAAGCAGTCATTACCCCTAATTTTATATGCATGTATACTTTTAAGTTAATGCTTATCTCACACCCAGGGTTATACATCCCATGGGGGTAAAAAAAAAAAACAAAAAAAAAACAAAAAAAAAACGGTCTTTTTATTCAATGTTGATATGTTAGTGCATAGAACATTATCTAGCATTTGATAGGTGGCTGCTAAGTAAGTGCTGAATAAACAAATGAAACCAACTTAGTACCCCTGGTTTACCGAAAACAAATAAAACCAATGATCCCAGAGGAGAAACAAAGCAAGGCAACTTAAATCATCTCACTAAATCAGGCATGATGGTGTAATCCCAGCACTTAAGAGACAGAAGCAGAAGAATCCAGAATTCAAGGCCAGCCATTGAAACTGTCTTTAAAAAGCTGGGGATGTAGCTCAGTGTTAGAGCATGTAGAGAGACTTTAGGTTAGATCCTCAACATTGAAATACAACAAGACAACCCACAAAACTCACAACAGCTATTCCTCTAGTAAGTCCCAATATTTTCTTTAATTTTGAATTTTAGTATTTATTAGACTATATTCCCAACAGATAACAACCAGCAGCTGAATGGGGGGGGGGAGGAAACAGTAATCAGTATGGTCAAATAGTCAGGTTGAAAGAAAAGGGTTGTTTGGGAATACTAAGTTAGAAATAAAGAATTGCCACAACTTGCCTATACACACATAAAGAACAGTATAATCAAGTACTGAGGGCATTTCAAAGCTTGTTCTCTTTTCAACAGTATGTAAGGTAAGGAAAGCAGGTGTTTTCACTTATTACAGGGATAAGGGACTTGGACCAAACAGGTTAAGTCACTTTTCTAAGACTTTACAAACAGTAAGAAAAACATCTGAAACTTATCAACTGGTCTGACACAGGTATCCCTTGGCATCCATGGGGGACTAGTTCTTGGACCCTGTGGATACCAAAATCTGTGGCTGTTAAATCCCTTATATAAAATGGTGCAGTATCATATACAATGTGTCCACATTCCTTAAATCATCTCCAGAAACTAAAAATATACAATGCAGTATAAATGTTGTGCTGTTTCACAGTATTGTTCAGGGAATAATGACAAGAGTCTGTACAGTGTAGTGTGTTGTTTTTAGAATGTTTTCCATCAGTGTTGGCTGAATCCACTGATGTGGAACTCAAGACATGGAGGTAGGTTATCTGTCCTTGTTTCCATGTATTTGCATAAAAGTAAATGAGCTGTAGTGACAGAATAGCACTGAATTAAAGACTCAAAGTGTTGTTCCTAACTAGACTATAGTGAGAAATTAAATCTTCTACAGTTCCTTGTAGTCTGGGCTATTGAATAGTTAACATTTTCTCCAATCTTAGTTGCCATTTATAAGAGACCCTTAACTTAGATAACTCAATATTTCCACTTCAGACAGAAGACATTTTCCTGTAACCTGGACTTGCTTATACAAAACTGCGTGCTTGTGAAGTACAACTCAGATTACCTCACATCAGTCCACCTTTCTTACCTAGGCAATGTACCTGAAAAAAAGATTCTTAAAACACTACAAAAATCAGATACATAGAGATTGGAAACGCATGTGCAAACATCTTAATGTCAATTGCATTAAAAATGAATTTTTCTGTATTAAACTGTGTATTTTAATAATGAAATGGAGATCTTTTTTAAAGGTTAAAACCTCATTTAATTTTATGTCTTATAGGGTTTATACTGAGTACAATATTGTATAACTGTAATAATTCAACTGTAAACCTAAAAATTTAGAGCCAATTTTGAAAGAGATGCATCTAAGCTCAGGAAATTGTTATTGAATATGTCAATGCTGTTGTAATGAAATGCTTCTTCTAAGTATGTGGTTATTAAATAAATAATTAAAAATAAAAAAAACAAAAAAACACTACAAAAATCAAGAGTTGTATCAAAACTTACATAAATCTTTATGTATGTTACACTCAAAGAAAAATTATCTCAAACACAACAAAACCAAACCACACTGCACCACACCATAGGATTTCAGGTTCCTGAAAAGGAAGCAGAGATAAAAACTGATCAAGATAAATCAATTAAAAAAAAAAAAAAAACAGGCAGGAATGTTTTTAAATGACCCTATACAGACGTTCTACTATTCTTCATTCTAGTCTGAGAAACTGGAACCCATTTCCAAATAGAGCTTTCTTCTCTGCTGTCACAGGCTACTTTAATCTCCAATCTACAGCAATTTCTTTTTTTTTTTTTTTTTTTAGGTTTCAAATCAGATATACCAGGATCCAAGATCCCAGGAGCCATTAATAAAGCTCTCTAAGTAGTATCTTTGTAAAAATGGAAGGAAAGGCGGATGGGCAGACTGGAAGGCTTCTGGAGTAGGACACTGTGGCCATGCCAGTGCCATCTGCCAATCTTATTCAACACACACAGACACACACACACACACGCCATGCAACAGCCTTTCTCTAGGAACCTGATTCTCTTACTGATATAGCCATGAGTAAAATATCCAGCCTCCAAGTGCAGTGAGGATGAGACAAGGAAAGGGGAAATGCATTTGATGACTCTGTGGGATGGTACACCACAGTCTCAGGGCCAGACAGAGATCTATCTTGCTTTTGTAAACAGAATTTCACTGATACTTTTTCTTGTGTTGCCTTTGCTGCTTCACAGTACAAAGGCAAAGCTGAGTGCTTATAACATAGACCCTCTGGTCCATGAAACCCGAAACACTATATGGTACTTTACAGAAAAAGTCTGATGACCCTGTGTTACAGATGGTTAAATGACAGGTTAAAAGTAATATAAACAAAGCTTAGATGCTTTTAGGCATCCTTGTCTGAAGGCAGGTGCTTTACATCTGCAACATCGTAGTGATCTAAGGGTCCCAGAGGCCTATTCAGTGCCAGGATGAATACTGAAAACTTGCTTCAGAAAATGTGTCCACCAAAGTCAAAAGATTCTGTTCTCACCAATGAGCTGCAGTTCTCGGAAGGAAGTGCTGCTCAATCAACAGTAATCTGCTTGTAACTTAAAAAAAGAAAGAAGGGCAGTGAGACTGTCAAACTGCCATCATAGCTACTATATAACAGAGTAGATTAGAAAGCCAGCTCAAGTCAGGAAAGAACCTACAAAGCCTCCCATACAGGACAGGGTATTGATGAAGAGTATCGATGCAAGAACTGTATTTTCCTGTTTACATTTAAAATAAGTGACCTCAAAGAGGAAACTCATAATAAAAGTTTTAAAACTCCAGAGGCCATGGCGTTTTCATGGAGACTACTCCTACATGGGTTCTGTGGTAAAGGGGTGGTGTGCTAGGGGCAGCCCACACTGGCCCATGAATCACCTCTCCAGCTCTCTACTCTGCAATGCCAGTCACAGTGGGACTGTTCACACCACCAAACACTTTCTAGCACGATACTGCGGGAAGTTACAAGGAAGCCTCACAGAAGATAAACAAGCAGGAAATTGGCTAGCAAAACTTTCTCAAGAAGGAGATGGGCTGAGTTTCTACCAAGGCCTGGGAAGTAACCAAGAAATCATCAGTTTTCTCAAAACTCTTCCACCTATAAAGAAAATTAAGACAAGAAAGATCATGTATGTCATCTTTAACACCCTATAGAATTAGAAAGTCA